TGCTTCTATTTTTTATTTTTATTTTTCTTCTGCAGATAGATTTTGATGAAAAAGATTCGTAGTTTGTCTTTCGTTCTGAGTGTGCGTGTATGAATATGTGGATGTTGATTGTGCCTATCGGCTTTCACCACCACGGCCACACTTCGCATCGAAATTCTTCTGACGAGTATGCAGCGCTCAGATAATTGTATCGGTATGTGGTTGGCCAGTAGGATTAACATCAGGAAAACGGAAAATCTGGTCAAATAAATCATATATATCCTTGTTATGATTATACATAAGAAGAAATTTATTGAGATATGGTTAGATAAGCGTCCATGAATATTATAGAATTCTATTAAACAGAAAAAGAGAAGTACGAATACGACAAGTTATCATTTTTTTTCATTGAATGCGACGCTGAGCCACCAGAAACCTTCTCCATCCTGTTCCAGTTCACTTTTAGCATGTTTTTGCTTAAAAAAGTTATTCTCGAGAAAATCCAACTGACACTCCGTACGATAGTGACTATTATAATCATCATCGTCACCTAAAAAGTAATACAAACTAAAGAACTTGACCTTGGTACATTTGTTTGTAAGCTGTTGACTCCAGAAAACTGCCGAAGGTCTTCCTTCTCCACCCACATGAAGTTGTCGAAGTTCAGGACAGTGTTTAAGAATAAACTCAATCCCTTGAAGCCACGACATATTTAAGCCTAAGCATCTGATGTGAGTTGGATTGAATGAACGTTCTGGTACTGGACCATGATTCCCTATAATACGTGTCCTAAGAATACGCAATTGATGACCGAGAGAATCAATAATATTGACTAAGTCGCTGAAAAACATCCAATTGATTTCCAGGCGACGCAATGAATGTAGACGAGATGCATTAAGAGCAAGTTGAGAAGTTAGTCCTACATTATCTGGTACCAAATAATTTGTTATGTCAATGTGAACAATAGAAGCGGGTAGACAATCAAATAAATTCATCAGAAAAGAACTTTCATAACGGCGTCCCTCTGGACCAAGATGTATGGGAGAGTCAGTGGAATAGAATATTCGTAATGATCGAAGATGGACAAAAGACCGAAGGTGAGGATATATGTGAGTGTCAACCAGTGTACAAGATGTCCAGTGGAGATTCAAATGACGAAGTTCAGTAAATAAATGTAATAGATGGGACATTAATAAATCTTTTTCTTGCAAATAAGATTTCAATTGAAGAGAAACAATTCTATTTGGTTTAAGTGCATCGACGGGCATTCGCCAAATACCAGAATATACCTTAACAAAAGGTTAGGATATTTACTCTTGTGAATTAATTCAAAAATATCCTACATAATATAGTTTAAAACTTTCATTCATTATTCTAATTAGCTATTCAAAACTAATTACAGGGTGTCTGAAAAGTAGATCCCTATTTCAAATTCTTTTTTTCTCTTTAATGAGAATAGATATTGTGTTACTTTTTTTACTATTTTGAAGCATGCTTAATGAATTAACTATGTAAGATCAAACGTAAATTTCATCTGAAGAATGCTTGAAAAATAACTTCTTATTTTTCATCGTTGATTACTTTCATACAAAGCATATATGTTGTAATAAATTTTTCATGGCTTTGAAATGCAATACTGTCACGGCTATTTTTGAGACATCATCGCATTAACCTATTACACACACCTCAAAATAGAAAAAAATTATTACAACATATATGCTTTGTATAAAAGTAATAAACGATGAAAAATAAGAAGTTATTTTTCAAGCATTCTTCAGATCAAATTTGCGTTTGATCTTACATAGTCAATTCATTAACATTCTTTCTTATGTAAAACAAAACTTCATAAAGTATGCTTCAAAGTAGTAGAAAAAAGTAACAAAAGAATTTAAAATAGGGAGCTAGAAAATATTTACAGAAATACTATGCTATTTCATTTAGCTGAAAAGAAACAGATTCACAAGATTTTTATCTTTAAAATAATTATCTTGTATCGTACATCATTATCATATCTTGATACTTTTATATGACCTTTATTGATGTTGTCAATCAAATAATTGAGACGAATGTTGATTCCATAGAATGCATGAAAAATTTCATTAAGAAACATGTAGTCAAATATTTCGTAAAAGATTTCATTACTGAGAGATTCGAGACTTGAGACAGATGACATTTCAATATTGTTTTATGATATCAATCTAAAAAAAAAAAAAGGAAAAATCAATCTAGTGAGGAACGAAAATTCTCTGAAATATAATAACAGTTAAACTCCTATTTTAATCGAATACCTTTAAATGTACCAAGAGTTAAATGAAATGTAAATTACAGGCCCGTAAAACTTTCCAATATGGGAGAACGAAAGTGTGAACCACATTTACTTCTTGAGGGTGTGGGTGAGCTAAAGGTTCACATCCACATCCTCAATTCGACGATTCACTTCCTTTCTATGGCTTCTTCTCCTTTCCCTTCCCCTCGCTCCCAGATCAAACTGAGCAAAAAGTTTCCGATTCGATTCGAATTCAAGTGCTTCTTACTTTCAGTCTCAAAGGCAGATGACTAACATCAATTCTACATTGAAATTGGAATGATTGTGACTATTTTTAAAAGTTTCCATATACCTGTGAGACTTTCGAATATGTGTTATTAAATCTTTATCCTTCGTAAATTATGTAAGCTCAATAATAACATATCAGAACTAGTGTCTGTTCAAAGGAAGAAAGTTCACTGATTGTAGCAAAGTAATACGGTTTTATTAAATAAATAAAACAAAAAAAACATATTACAGGATAAGAATGATGATAATAATGAAGATGACAATAATAATAATGGAAAATCAATAGAGATAACGACGGCAAACAAATAAAAATAAAAATGGTAATGTGTGAGGGGAAAAATAACAGTTAGCAAAGTAGAGAGATGGAGAGGAGAGCGCTTAAAGAGGAAAAGAAAAGCCAATAACAAAAATATATAGAGTGAACGTCATAGATTGCCATCTGTTGACACTAACAACACCTCTTACAAACAATCATATATCTCTATTGTCAATATCAAAACAAAAAACAAACAACCATATCATTTTCACCAAGAAAAATTCTAGTTGCGTGCATTTTATCGTTACTTGAAAAAAAAAAGAAAATTATATTTTGTTTTACTTACATGCAAACAACAATTCAAATAAAACGTAGAAAAATCAATCCACTAAAAGTACACAACCTTTCAATTAATTGTATAATAGAAATGAGGTATAGGGATACAAAATTTTGATAACGCTTTTGCATACTCAATGGCCCGAGCACGAAAGAGAAACACAAAAAAAAAATATTGATTTCATCATAACTAGTGAATTAAAAACATTGCATTTTATTTCATTGAATGCAAAATGCTGAAATTTATGCCTTTCTTAGCTTTTAATCTATACTTGCTACTACTAATTGTTCTGTCAATTTTTTTAGCATATTTTAATGTAATTTCGATAGATATTTGTCAAATGAATGTAACCATCTATTTTAACCAATTTACTTGATTAATAGCTTCCATATATGCAACATTTCTAATCATACCATGTTGTCTTTAAGCTTGGAATGTCGATTTTCTAGTATAAGATGAGAATAAAATTGTGACAACATGTGTCACAACAATTAAACTCAATATTCTCATTGCAACAAGAAGTACTTATTGTTGCTTCCATCCGTGTTATTGACATGTAAATAATGAAAGAAAGAATAATTTCCTATAAGTCACTGATTGATATTTATTTTAATTGCTTTTGTGTAGACATATAGTCACACATACGTGTCTCTTCCTCTTCTTGTCATAAATGAGACAAAGGTACGAATATAATTGTAATTTATTTATAACAAAACATTTTATTTGCTAATAATTAAAACATATTGCATCATTCGTAATATTGTTTATGACGATCACAAGTGTTTTTTATAATCGATATTAGCATTGAACAAACGAAGTAAATCAATGTTTCTTGTATGAGGTAACTCTTGAACATGATGATCCATATGTGCCATACTAATATTCAGTTCAATATAGACTAATATTTTGCTAATTTCTTTGTAGTTTTGAATTTGCACACAATATAAAATTTAGAGAAAAGAAAAGTCTTGAGAGACTTTTTGGAATAATTCATTTTCAGATGGATATGTATTAAACATTATCAATAATCTAACTTTATAAAACATAATACTACCTTCAAAAGAATTGCTCAAATAGGAAAAAGTGTTGAACAGATATACAAGTAAAAATATATTTTATTGACAACAAAACTTGTCCAGTGTATTATCAGAAAATGAATGAACGTATCGATTTTTATTTTAGATAAAATTAAGCTGAATATTTTTATTCGATGGAAGATTAATTTTTTATATTATCGTTCAGAAGTGCAGTGTATATGTCATGCTGAAGTTACTTTAATTCAACTATTAAATAGTTACCAATTAATTGATAATATTAAAAGAAAAATATATACTTATTGTTAATTTTTCATTTTAAAAATATATTTAAAAAAAATAAGTACGTATTCTGAAAATGCTTGGAGTTGTATAGTTTTGTAAACCTTCCATTGACGGTTTGAATATACACGTAACAATGGAAGACTTGCTGTAAATACCTTATACGGGTTATGTTTGTTTTCAAAGAGGTCAATTGAAAACCTTAAAAAATCAATTCAAAAATGTCTATAATATACGATTCGATGCATTTTAATCTCCTCTTTCGAACAGTAAAAATCGCAGCTCTCTCTCTCATTTCTATCGAAATTTATTCAAAATATATTCATACTCTCCCCCTTTTTTTTTAAATAGGCATTAGGTATAACCGTCACATATCATAGAAAAACAGTTCTTATTGAAATTTTATTATTATGATATTTAGTTAAAGAATAATCAAATACCACAGAACAATAGAGCATTGTTTATACTATCATCACATATAAAAAGAAAGTTTTATAAAGTATATTATAGAGTATTAAAGTGTCATTGTCATTACTTTTGAGAGCTGCTCTAAATAAGTCAGTCACTTTTATTGAATTCTTTGGCGTGTTGCTTCACCCATTCCTCGTAATCCATTCCAGGTGATCCTGTTAGAAGTTCAACATTCGGAGTTACTTCGACAGTGCCTTTCTGAATGAGATGAGCTAAATTTTCCAAATGATCAGCAGTATGCTGATCCCAACCATCTTTTGATATATATTCTTTTAATGTTGTGGCTTTCCATTCATCCCAGTCAAGTGGAACATAACGAATCTTGCGACCAAGGGCAGCAGAGAAGGCATTAGCCATCTCGTTCATATCAACTACTTTCGGACCGGTAAGATTATACGATTTTCCCATGTGAGCAGCTGGATTGACAAGAATAACAGCGGCCACTCGAGCAACATCATAAGCAGCAATGGGTGGTATACGACCAGAACCAAAAGGAATGCGCAGTTCATTATGTTCGGCAACTGCAGATTTGGCCCAGTGATACAAATGAGGATTCTGATAAAAGTTATATGAGTTGAAGGAACAGTTTGAAAAAGTAAAAGCAGCTTACCTCCATAAAGATAGTTGGACGAAGATTCACGAAAGGTACGCCTGACCATTCCAAAGCCTGCTCTCCCAACCAATGTGCATTTACTTGTGAACTCAAGGAGGTTTGGTTGATGTTCATTTTTGACACAGTCATCTAAAAAACGAAGACAATTAGATTTTTTTGTCAGTTGTTAAAGAAATTTGAATTACAGTTTATCATAGGTGGAGTGTAACATTTTAGAGAGAAAGTTTTCTTAACAAGCTCTGTCTTTCATTGCGTACACATACCTGAGACATGTTAACAAATACTTCAACATTGTAATATTTGGCAACGGCAATTGTATTTAAAGTGGCCTCGAGATATTTGGAAGCAACAGTAATGCTAAAGTAGACGCGTCCACAACCATTTACTGCTCGATGAACATCGGGCAATTGTGTAAGATCGCCAATGACGACTTCAGCACCTAGTTCACGCAAAGCTTGTGCACGATCATCATCACGTCGAACAAGTGCTCGAACAGGTAGATTTTGCTTTCTGAGTAAATCGACGATGATTTTTGAAACAGATCCCACACCACCACCAGCTCCAGTGATAAGAATTGGTTTGTTACTCTGAGCCATTTAATTGCGTGTAAATTTTGTTGAGTTTTCGTTCGAAGAATAAGTACTGTTGTAAGATTGTTTGCTAAATCAGCTAGGTCCACTTATTAATATACACAGCAAAATAGAACGTCAGAATGACGTTGCTTATGATCGAAGTGCTATGTCATGCATGGGGAAAAAAGACCGAACAAGTCGTACGCACATGGAGCATAGCGTCAGATAAATGGCCGTGGAAAAGTAAGAGAATACAGAACACAAAAAAAAAAAAGAAGGGCAAACAGCGCTATACATACCTTCGCTGTGTAGTAGAAGAAACTAGAACATACAAAAAGGAGTAGAACGAACAACATTATACAAACCTCTGTAATGAAGCAATAGAACATAGTAACTACAAACAACAGCTTGAGCAGTGTCTTTTTTGTTTATATTCAGAACAAAGTTGATCTGATTCGACATTCAATAAGAAGGCAGAATAGCGTGACTCGATACTAAAATACATGAAAAATAAATGCATTTAAATAGTGGAAAATGTCGGCAAATGCGTTTAAATATATCTTTTTGTTGGTTGGATTAAAATTTAAACTCAAATTCCATATTTATCATTTATAGTTTCCTGGATGATCTGATAACGATTAGAGATTGGTACAATAATCTGTGAAACGATTTTTTTTTATAATGTATGAACAATACTGTTATATGTATGGATAACAAAGATTTAACCTGATGAATTTAATTTTTTAAGTTTGAAGTTGTATCGTATCCTGTGTAATAATTAAGTTCTTTGTACATGATGGTCTTTTTTTAATGACTTGATGTTTGGGATCATATATTCTCTTGTCGATTAAGGGAGTGTAGGTGCGGGTGTGGATGTAGGCATTCATTCCCAGTACACCCATACTCTCAACACTTTAATTGTCTGCAAATGGATTTCACACAGGATAAACAGGGTATTGCGATTAGCATGAAAAAATATGCCAAAAATTCTACTTTTTATTGTAAAATATTTTCTATCAAAATGTAACTTCTATTCTTTCTCGATTTTTTATTCTTTAAATTTTTTTCCTCTGTTCTTCTATGGATAAAATTTTGACCTGAAATATTTTATGATGAAAAGTTGAGTTTTTGGAGTATTGATTTACATTAATTTCAACTATCTTGTTTATTTTGTATAAAAATCAACTTCTGTCAATTAAAATAAGGAATGCTATAATATCCGTAAGATTCATAGTATAAATATTACAAAATCACCTAAATGCACTAAAAAATTATCATAAACCTCTATAACTTAGACTTTTAAGTGTATTTACTGTACTTTGCTCAATGCTCCAATAAATATTCAGACATCCTAAACTTGAGGATTTGATATGTATAAATCGCAGTATCACTGTTTTATATATAATCCTAAACAAAAGTAACTACCTTCTATATGAAGTGATATCGTTTTTCATAATTTTGGGTGAATATAGTGAAACTCGATGAATTCTGATCATAAGCACCAACATGATCTCCAATGGCTAAGATATACTAAGGTTGAAGAAGAATTATAATACTTACATCTATACCCTGGAACTCCGTTAAAAAGGTGTCTAATGCAAAATTTGGCGTTAGTTTGGACGAAAATGCTGTTAAATGACTTTTTAGTTTTACATAGTTTGTCTATGGTAAATATAAAGATATACTATCAATTTGACGAAGAGCATATATATCCAGTAATAAAATATGTGTATTATTGTTAGATACAATTAGAAATGTTGTCTTCGATTTTATTAAATTAATATATTATATATACAAACGTCAAATTCAAAAGTATAATCATTAATTTCTCTTTCTATATTTTCTCACTTGAACTTAACTCTATGTTGCTGGTAAAACCGCACTAGCATCGTACTTTTTTTTTTTTGTTGTTTTCGCAAAACACATTATCGATTTCATCATTTCTCATGATTGTTTGTGATTCAACGACTTAATTTTGCTGCTATTTAATGTCATTTATGCTCTCTCTCTCTCTCTCTTTCTATTTTTAACTAAATCAGTATTAAATATGGTCATTGCTTTTTTTGTATTATAACATTGGTTAATAGTAAGTTTGCGTTTTTTTTTTTAACTTTAAACTAGAAAGAAAAGGACTTATGAATCATCAGAAGTGATGATTCATATAGTATTGTAAAGAAAAAAAAAAAAAGATGTTGTTTCTTCAGAATAAAATACGTGTAACTGACGCTGACATAAAAAAAAGCCTAGTCAAATAAGTAATCAAAAAGTCGACAGTTTTTATCATCAGAAAAAGTACTTCTTGCGAGAAAAAAGCGAACAGGTAAAAAATATCATTCTCAAACTTTTCTTCTTGATACAAAAAAAAAAGAGTATAAGTTGGAATATTCCATCTTACACAACACGAGTAATAAAACATTTTCTCATCTATTGCGCAGATAGATGACTCATGGAGAACGCATGTGTATGTGTGTGTTTTACCATTCTCTTGCGTTCTTTTCACATAAAAGACACACTTCAAAAGAAGACAAAAAAGTTGGTCATATTTTGTGTGCAAGAAAATGGCTCTCAACTCTGCATATACAATTATTTGGCTCGATGTTCATATTGGTTCCAAAGCTAATTGTCGACAAATGAAGAAAGACTTCGAGGTTGGTCTTGTAGAAACAGCAGCTGTACCACCACTTCCACATGACCCAATCGATGATCTTATATGTGCCGTACGTGAATATAGTGCACCAATCCAATTTGCGGATACAACAAATGATGCATTAAATCTCATAGAAAATAGTGTGACTTATAATAAAAAAGTTATATTAATCTCATCGGCAACATTGGGAAAAGAAATTGTTCCTGAAATTAACAAACAACAATTACCAATTGAATCATACTATGTTTTCTGTGGAAATATAGAAAACAATCGTGACTGGGGTAGTGAATGTATCGATAATGGTTTGGATATACAAATGTTCGATCATCAGACAACTCTATTGATAAGACTCTGTCGAGATATGAGCAAGATATTAAAAAAAGATGGAATAGCTGTATTGAATGCAAAGAAACCTGAATTTGCTTTGAAATATTTTGAATTTGCTTATGCACTTGCGGAAAAGGCCGTTGAGTATGATACACCTACCGATTCTTCTGATAAACATCATCCATCTACCGAACATCGACAAGAATTAAATTCTTTGATGGCAAAAGCAAAACAAGATATGAAATAAGAATTTATTATTAAATGGAACTTTATCATTGACATTATTTTTTTTTTGATAAATATTAAAAATCTTAAAAGAAAATGCTAGAAAACTAATATATAGTCGTTCAGACCTTCAGAAAATAGTTTTAATTCAATATTGTATACACTAAAACCTCTCATCGTGAATACCATTTTATATAAGGTATTTTCGAGATACTTCAAGTAAACAATGATTACAAACTGATTATCTTATTCATTAACACCCTTCAAACACTTAAAAAATCCATCTCTACTTCTTCGAAAATACGTATTTTTGGAAAAGACATAACCTCTTCATGGTGAACACCTACCCTATACTGAATACTTTTAGAAAGTCTCGTAGGTATCCACTAAAGGCAAGTTTTACTAGACTTCAAATGACAAATGCGATTTGAAAAAATTCAAGTCAATCCAGGATGATGATTACAATTGCTGTAAAAACCAACAACCATAACTTATACTGTCATTTCATACAGTTTGCAATCGTAAACTAACATGTAGTAGGTGTAGTATTACAACTGCATTTTATCGTATCGTACATGGTAGTGATGACCGTAGAATGACTCGGAAAATCGACTCACCCACATTCTATTTGTTGTTATAATTATGCTCGAAAAAGATTGTCGGATATGGATGAGTGTGGTTATTCACACACACCCTATTCATATATTTTGATGCTATTCATCTTTTTCATGTTTCTGTTAAACTTAATTTTCATTTTGACAGCGTATTCTTTGCATATTTTCGATCTTATCGTCTGAATTTTCGACTTACTGTCGAACATATATTTAACATTATTTGTCAAACGTATCTTCCAACGATTGTTGATCGAATTATTTCATTGTATCTTACAAATAATGACGAAATATCGAATATGTCTGAATTTTTCCTTTTCCATGATTTCACTCTTCATATCTATTGAATGAATTCATATGTCAATGTCATTATCTTCCAAAATTAACATATCTCAATATCATTGAACATGGGCTTATCAGTACAAAAAACTTGTCTCATCTCGGTCATTTTCATTTATATAAAAATCTTGTCACTCATAGAATTTATTGTCATCAGAAAATCAAACATGTTATTCTTTATGAAATTTATTTTGTTGTAAAATTGTTTGTGATATCCGCCAATAAACATAGATTCAATAATACCAAAATTTTCATTGTCTTTTAACTGTAGATTATCTACTTGTTAACAAGAATACAAAATTATGAAGCACAAATAAAAAATAATTTTATCCTTGTTATTGAAAAGATTGTAAACAAAATGAATACTTTTTTTTCGATCTGTTTATTTTTGCAAATTTTTTTTTTTGACTATGTCAGTATTCTCACTATTACTTTATACGGTTGTTACAGGGTGATCCGAAAGTTTTAGTACCTCTCAGAAAAATTGTTCGTTTTCCCTTATAGTAAACTCCAAAATGCTCAAACTTTGGTATCTTATTCCTTGTAACATGGCAAATATTATCCTAAATGTTCAGCTCTCTATCCTGACAAATAAGGGAGATGTATAGACTAACATTTTTGAAATCTTATTTTCTCCATGTCGCAAAAATAGTAGTTGGTGTATAATAAATGGGTCACTTTTGCATTTCATGTTTCCATCACTTGATACATTGTATTAAGAAAACAAAATACCCTACAAGATGCAGCGTGAAAAGCTCTACAATCTACATAATAAAGTGTATTTTAATTATATAGTCTTTGGTTTCATAAAAAAGCAAAACTCTATGCGATCGATGTTCGTCGTCGTAAAAAAAAAAATCGTTTTTTCTACACGAACGAAAGATCCGTCTTTTTTTTTCACCCTTTTTATCACCTAATAAATTTCATTAAGAAAAAGCAAAATATATCACAAGATGCAGCGTCAAAAGCTCTACAATTTACACAGTACAACATATTTTAATTACGTAATTGTTGTTTTAAAAAAAAAGCAAAATTCTGTACAATTAACTTAAAAATTGATCACACAAATTTTTGCTTTTTCTTCAAAAACAACAATTACATAAACGAAATATGCTGTACTGTGTACATTGTAGAGCTTTTCACGCTGCATCTTGTACTGTATTTTGTTTTCCTAATACAATGTATCAAGTGATGGAAACATGAAATGCATAAGTGACCCATTTATTATACACCAACTACTATTTTTGCGATATGGAGAAAATAAGATTTCAAGAATGTTAGTCTATACATCTTCCTTATTTGTCAGGATAGAGAGCTGAAAATTTAGAATAATATCCGCCATGTTACAAGGAATAAGATACCAAAGTTTGAGCATTTTGAAGTTTACTATAAGGGAAAACGAACAATTTTTCTGAGAGATACCAAGACTTTTGGATCATCCTATATGTAGTCTTGAGTATTCTCGACAATATTAAATATAAGCTAAAGTTCATTTTTGCTTTTGTCAGGAGTTTCGAACGATTTATTCTATCTGAAAGATTTTTATTATCTTTATATTTATTTTTATAACAAAAAAAAAAAATAACGACTGATGCAAAATCAACTGGTTTCCATTTCTTTAAATGTTTTGACACTTTCTTCATATTTTTCTAATACAATCGAACACATTTCTTTTAAATCTAGTAAACCTTTTCGAAATATATCAATTGCTGGTACTGCTGTTGAATCTTCATTTATTTTTGATTGTATTCGAAAATTAATTTTCGATTCTGATGGATGAGGAATTGTATAACCACAAAAATCTACAGCTGGATTTTTCATAATAATATGTCGAAGTGAATTTCCTAATGTATGATCTTCATCACGAATAATAAATGAAAGATTAGGTGCACCAATAGTCGATTTTGTATTTGTACCATCATCAACTGGACATACTTGTAATTTTATATAATCATTCGTTTGCATCTAAAACAAGGAAAACGTTCTTTTCTTTTTTTTCTATTCCACTACGGGTTTTATTTGATAAAAAAAAAAAAAAAAAGATAAACGACCAAAAGGTTTAGTTTTATTAAACGTTTAATTCAGTTGGTTTAGTTGCATTTGGTGCAATGATTGATGCATAATTTTTTAATGCTGGTTCAACTTCACGTGAAATAAATTCATAAACCTAAACAAAAATTTAAAATTAAATTACTTATGAAAAAACTTCATCAGATGCTTCTTGTCTATAGGATACTACGCCGTATTCTAATAACCCTCCCAAAAAAAAAATTCATCTAAAACTTTGCACAGATAGAAATCGGAAAGGAACATCTGAGAAGATTTTCTTTTTACTTGTTCGGGTGCTCGTCCAATAAATGTTTTAGCATCAAGAAGAACATCAAGTTTATTGATAATGGGTGCAAAATATGGATCACTTTTAACACGTTCAACAAGATCATTATCTAAACCATCCATTTTAACACGTTCAGCAGCTTTTTGTGATAATGTACGAATTTTTTCATGACATTCTTGACGATTACCACCAGCAGAAACCTAGAAAGATTAATATTTGTAAATTAAAATATTTTTTATTTAAATAGATTTACCATTGCCATAATTAAATTTTCTGTTGCCATAAATGGTAATTCTTGTTTGATATGTTTTTCAATAACCTTGAAACAAAAGACATAAAAAAGTTTTTTTTTTTTTTTTAGTTAATTTTATTTACTTTTGGATAGACAACAAGACCTTCAGAAATATTTAATAAGGTAAATAAAATTATATCCGCAGTGAGAAAAGCTTCGGGAATACAAATACGTCTATAAAAAAAGAAAAATTTTTTCGGATAAATTAAAAAAATAAATTATTCAGAAGATTTTTACTTATTAGCACTATCATCTAATGTTCGTTCCATCCATTGAACTGAATGTGTACCAAGTGGATCATTAATTAATGTCATTAAATGACGTGCAAGTGAACAACATCGTTCACATCTCATTGGATTACGTTTATATGGCATTGCACTTGAACCTAATTTAAATAAGAAATTAGCTCTTTTTTCTTTTTTTTTGTTTAATATCATTCAAAATAATTCATACCAATTTGTTCAATTTCAAATGGTTCTTCGATTTCTTTTAAACTTGCTAATAAACGAATATCAGTACACATCTAAAATTTTAAATAATTCAAAATTATTCAATTAATCAAATTCAATAATAAATAACCTTATGAATTGTACCACCAAAACTTGAAAGAACACTGACTACTTCAACATCAAGTTTACGTGTATATGTTTGAGCACAAATAATAAAAGCTCTAAAATAAAATAGTTCATTTATAAATTAAAAAACTAGAAGAATAAATGATCTGTAGAATATCTTCAACATTTCAGTCAAAATAAATATTATTTTGTTGAGATATCGAATTTCCCAAAAATTTGGTGGCTTGAATTTTTAGTAAATAATATGTATGATACAAAACTTTTTTTGTACTAAAAGGTAGAGTTTTTTTCCTCTGGCGAAACATATATAACTTATTTTTATCACATGTCTATAAACAAAACGACGCAATAGGAAAGTGAAGCACCCTTAAAAAATGTCTGAGCTTTTTCTATAATGTATGAAAGCAGAAAATGTCGATCTTTTCAAATCAATACATTATAAAAGGAATACATTTTTTTTTCCTCGTTCAACCTACAAAAGATTTATATTTGTTACATATGCGTAAATAAAATGAGAAACACTGACCGAATAAATTTACGATTTTTTTTATATAGTCATCTAATTCAATTTTTAGGAACTTGTTAAAAAGATCTTGTTAGTTTAGTTGTTATGAATTTATCAAAATGACCTTGTAAAACTACAGATAATTATAATTATCTATTGTCTCACAAGAGATTTTTGACGAGTCTATAGAAAAATTGCAAATTCATTGTCCAAATGTTTCTCATTTTTGTTTACGAATGTAAATCTTATATAGATTGAAAGAGCAAAAAAATTTCCTATCATCTGATAATAAGATATTCCTTCTATAATGTATTGATTGAAGAGATCGACATTTTCTGCTGACATATATTATAGATAAAGTGCGGACGCCTTTTAAGGGTGCTCCTCTTTCCCTATTGCGTCGTTTTGTTTATAGACATGTGATAAAAATAAGTTATATGATTCGAAAGAGGAAAAAAAGCTCTATCTTGTGGTACAAAAAGTTTTGTTTCAGCACTCTTCCATCCAAGAGAAAATAGGAGTCGACATTTGTGCCATTACTCTTGCATCATACGTTACCTATCAATGGATGAAAAATTCAGTACGATATCCTAATATGAGCTCAAACAACAAGTATCAGTTTGAGTGATTCTCTTATTCAAATTTTTCTTCCGGAGACAAATAAAGTAAAACTCTATGATTTATCATCGAAAATTTTTGTTTTTTAAAATATTACTTTGAAAAGCCAGCCATTTCTGTAACCATTCGATCCAATTCTTCAACCTATTTAAAAAGTAAAAGCTAATTAATTTTTTTTTTGACAAAAAATTTCTATTTATTATCTTACTTTAAAATGATCTCCATTAAATAATTGTAGAAATGATGCTTGAGTTCCTGTTGTACCTTTAACTCCACGAAATTTTAATTGTCTTTTTACTCGTTCAAAATTTTTTAAATCCATTAATAAATCTTGTATCCAGACACATGCTCGTTTACCCACTGTTGTCAATTGTGCAGGCCTTTTTTTTCAAACATAAATCATTCTTTTCTTTTTTTTTTATCAATTTTTAAACAAAATACATACTGCATATGTGTATAACCAAGTGTTGGTAAACAAGCATATTCTTGTGCAAATTGTGTTAATCGTTGAATACATCGAACAAGCTAAATATTCGATATAAAAATATAAAGAAACATAACCTTTTATTTTTATTTTTACTTTATTAATAAGAATATCAAATCCATCTCTCATAACAATTAAATCCTATATATAAAATAAAAGTTATATTAGAAATGATGAATAATATATAACATACAGCATTATCACCAACAAAAGCAGATGTAGCACCAAGATGAATAATAGGTGAAGCTTTTGGACAACAACGAGCAAATGTATGAACATGTGCCATAACATCATGTCGTCGTCGACGTTCTTCAGCTTCAGCAATATCAAAATCAATATTTGTTAAATTTTTTTCCATTTCATCTAATTGTTCATCAGTTATATCTAAACCTAATTGCTAAAATTAGAAGACAAAAAAAAATCTTATGAAAACTGATTTTTCTTTTGTTCGTTCTTAAATAAATTTACCTTTTGACATTGTGCCAACCAAAACCAAAGACGTCTCCATGTTGAAAATTTTTTCACATCACTAAAATTATAACTCATTTCGGCTGATGCATAACGTGAAACTAAAGGTGATCGATATTTTGAACGCTCATCAACTGATGTAGTAGAAGGAACAATTGCTTGATCTTTTCCAGTACTTCCATTTGCTGTACTACCAGTACGAGTTGTTTTCATTGGTAGTTGTTCCTGTGTTGCAAAGGATTCAGATCGAGATTGTCGTTGATTGTCATTTGTTGTTACATTTGCATCAGACATCTGAAAAAAAAAGAGAATTACGATGTAAAGTTTTTTTTTTTTTTTTTATGAATAGAAAGAAATAAAAAGTTAAGTAAATAAGGTAGTAAAACAATGATTTTCCCTTTTCGTACTTATTTAACCTTATCAAATAGTGAGTCAATGAAAAGTCCTTCGACTGATAATAAATAACTGTTTATATTTTCTTCACTATTCACTTCATATACACGTTCATTTTGATACAATATCAAAGTCTATATAAACAGGCACCATACACGTACAGACATATTTGCGCGTTTTGCATGTAAGGTTAAGTTGATTGTTATTTTTTCGCTCTTTCTCGTTTTTTTTTTTTTTTCCTTTTCGTTCGATGACAAAAATAGTATAAAATAAGTGAATGTTATTTATCAGGAATAGACTTAAATAAGAAAAAAAAAAAAAAAACACAACATGATGAAATACATTCTTTTATTCTCTCATTTTTTGTTGTTCTATAAAAAAAAATAAAATAAAGAAATACTATCAATCATTCTTTGTTAATTGATGAGAAAGTAAATTAACAATAGATTGTTCATCGTTGATTTTCATTTGTGAATGAAACATATAAGGAAGATTATCATCATCATCAGCCCAAATAATTGCTAATGAATGTTTTTTATTTTGATTATTTGTTGAAGATAAATTTTGAATATAATTATCAAATGAAACATCACGTAATGATGAATGACGATATGTTCGAATTGATAAATTATCACGAAATTTTTCAATAAGATTAAGTATATTTTTTGATGGTTGTTTAGCTGAAAGATGAACAACTAATTCTTTACGAATAGGTACAAGATTTAAATCAATTGAATTTTGATTTTTTTTATAAAGAATAAGTTGATTATATAATTGTTCAAGTTTATCAAGTAAAACATCTTGACGTCGTTCAATATCTTTTAATTCTGAAAGATTCGTTAATTGCTAAAATGAAAAAAAAAAAACAAAGATAATTTTTTTTTAATTTTCATATGATATTCAAATTTTTCGAACATTTTATTTACTATATAATTAATCTAATGAGAATATTCCTATTTAGTGTTTATTTTTATTTTGATGACATAGAAAATAGGATTTCTTTTTTGTTTCTCTTCATTTTAAAAATAAATATAAATATTTTATTTACTTTTGGTTGTTGTAATACAGGTTGTACTGAATACATTGTTTTAGGTAAATCAAATTCAATTGTTTCTGAACTATAAGGACGTGTAGTATACATAGTTTGTTTTTTTTAAATATCTAGAAAAAACACAAACAAAAACAAAAATATTAATTGTTTTATTTTCTTGTTTATATTGTATCAAAGAATTGTTTTCTTTTCTTTTTTTTTTTGTTAATCAGATGTTTTTCTTTGCACATGTTGTGCAAATGTTTGTGCAACAACCAATGGAAATATTAATGTAGCATCACCATGAACTTTAACTGGTTTAGCAGTAGAACGAATTTTACCCCATGATACAGCTTCATCAGGACTAGCACCAGAATCGGATCCATCATATTCCATACCTGTATTAATATAAACTGCATAATCAGCTCCATTACGCATTAAATTAGCATTACCTAAAAAAAAGTTATTATTATTATTATTATTTTCGTTCGACTAAATAAATGAAATATTTTGTTATAGAAACTCTAATTTGAGTTCTCCGTCTAGTTCTTTACTTCTAAGGAAAGAGTACTATGTCAAGTCGTTGGCATTTGTAGGACTTAAAATTAAGTCATAAAAAAAAATTTAATAGTTCCTCAAGAACATCTTCTCAATCTGTTGCGCTACAAAAACTGCCTTTGAAGGCAGTGGAAAATTTTGATGTTTGTTTGAAGGATTTCCATGCGCTGCATAGATCTATTAATCTAATGGAACGAGAAATAAATTTTTGAGTCTATCTTAGATCACTATATTTAAATATAGGAATAGACTTTAGTCTACCTAAGCCTTGTGTCTTCACCACCTATCTGCATAATTCCGTAATTTCGTTTAATCTCATCTCGCGGAGAGTATCATTGTCTTTGTCTAATTAGGTCACTTCTTTTTTTTTTGTTTTTTGTTCGAAAATCACTTACAAATATGATGTTTTATAATTCCACCACCAAGAATAAGCATTCCAGTTGATTTAGCATGTACAGATAAATTATTAAGTTTTTTTAAATCTTCTAATATATCAATTTTTAAACCTGGATTACGATATGAATGAAAATATAACATATCACCTAAACTTCCATCTGTTATAGCTGGACAAAAAACTGGTATCTTATTTTTTGAACACCAATAATAAATTGATTCTTCATTATTAATTTCATTTCCAAGAATTTCAATTAATTTTGATGGTGTTAATATACAATTATTAAAATTTTCATTAACAATACGATCTAATATTGGCATAAGCCAATCTTCAAATTTACAATAATTATCATTTGGTACTAATAAATTTCCAATACGATTTATACCATTAGCACGTAAATTTTGTCCATTTAATGTAAATTCACCAACATATGTAGGTGCTAAACATTTAATTAAATCTTCTTCAATACCACCAGCTGTTGTTACAATAACATGAATAAGTTTATGTTGACATAAATAACGTATTATATCACGACAACCACTTGAAACTAGATTTGATGTATAACCAAAAAAAATTATTGAATTTGTTTCAAGCATTGTATCAATTTGTTGACATGCTTGACCAAAATTTGTTGCTTGAAAACCAATAGAGCTATATGAACGTAATAAATTAAAATAATCAATTGGTTGAGATTTATTAAAATCATAACCATGAACAATTAAATGTGATGAAAGATCAATAGATGATGATGTAGGTTTAAGTGTTGCTTCAAGAGCAATAGCTGGAATATCATCTTTTGATGTTTCTGACATGATGAAATAGTATAAAATAATATTTCGAAATCTTCATTTCAAACATCTTGCAAAATAAAGTAAAACATTTCTATGAATCATCATATGTATATCCCATTTTAATTGATCATGTATCTTTATATTGATATGATGAAAAAAAAAATGATTTCTTATTTATTTAAAGAAAAAAACATTTTTAACTTTATACTTCGATACATTGATAATATTTGATGGAAAATTTCAAGAATAAAATAGAGGGCGCTAGTATTCATTGAGAAAATCAATTGTAGAAACAGTGGGCCATCTATATGTTAATCGTATTTTTGCAACATATGTGTAACAACACATAGTTATAGTCAAATTACAAGTAACATTCTAAGACTAATGAGAGATCTACTCGAATTCAGTGAAAAATATTTATCAAAAAAATGGCAAAGAACGCGTTCCAAAATGGAACGGTTAAGAATGTGTTCTCACCCTTAAGAAACGTTTTCTTTTCTTAAAAAAAAAGCTTTCACGTTCGCGGAACGCGTTCTTGATCATTACAGTTCAAAATGATGAAAAACTAGGCAAAAAAAACCGAGAAATCCTTGTAGTTTGGAACTCCTCGGGGATTCTCATAGAAAAAACGGATCTCGGTTGCATTTTTCAACGAAAGAATGTAAGAAAGGATTTATTCGATTTCTATACTCATACAGAAATCCTTAACAAAGAAAAATCGGAATACTGCTCAATCTATCAATAAAATTTATATACCTTATCTAAAACAAATTCACCAGAGAAAATATTTCTCTATCTACTCAATCTGAAATCATAGGTCACTGTCTATAATTAAACTCCACGGAACAAAACTGACTGCCTCTATTACGATAGAATAAAAGCAAAAGAAAACTAACGGCAAAGTATACTAATTCGTCAATCGTTTTATTTAGCTTTATTCAAAAATAATAGTGAAGCTTTCTACCTATACACAAGGTCATTATCAACACAAAATGATAGAAAGTAAAAAATATGTACAAAATAGTTCTTTTCTTTTGTTCTCTTTTGACTATTGATAAACATTACAATAAAAGAGGGAGATAATATTTCGATTGTACTGCAATGTTTATTAATAGTCAGAACAGAACAAAAGAAAATAACAATTTCGTACGTATTTTTTCACTTTTTATCATTTTTATGTTGATAGTGATGACCTTGTGTATAGGTGCAAAGCTTCACTATTGTTTTTGAATAAAACTAAATAAAATGATTGATGAATTAATGTATACTTTACCATTAGTTTATTTTCTTATATCTCATCGAATAATATAAATAAAGGAAAACTAACTCTAACGGTACCAGATGAAAAAATGGCTATGAGTATTAAGATGAAATAAAACTCAATGGGCAGTACAATACAAATTGTAGGAAAACCTTGTTAAGTTCATCAAAGAGAAGAATTATTGTATATTCATTTGCCAAACGATTCTGAATTTTTCTAGAATCCTTCTTATTGTTGCACATTGTTTGTGTCTATTTTTATTGTTTTTTGACAGTGTATTGTAACTACGACTGTCACGATATCAACAGCTAAAAGCTCAACGTTGAAAACAGATGTTGATAAGAGAACTAAGAGTTATGATGATAATTTTTTATGCAGAAAACAATGAGAAAAAAATTTAATATATTTGAGAACATTGACGAATCCATTTGAAGCTAATCAATATTCTTTCTCAATATAACGGGATTATTTTTTGTAGATTATAAAACGGACGAGAAAGCATTCGACAATTAGGAGAACGGCAGAGAACGTGTTCTTTTCTCCCTGAGAATGATGTTGGATTGTCTGGAATACGTTCATCAGTTCGAAGAATCCATTCTCAAGTATTTCTTGAGAGAAGGTTAAAGAAAGCATTCTCATTAGATGAAGAACGATTTTGAACCGAGAAGAAACCGTCTCATAAAAACGTGCAACGACAAAGAATGCGTTCCTTCAGATGCATAATTTATTCTTGTCGCTCATGAGCGCATTCGCCAAACTGTAGAACGTGTTCTTCATGGGAAAGGTAACTTTCCATGTTTTGCTGAATGCGTTTACTTCCGTTTTTTTTCCATGATTATTTTTCACTGGGAATTGATACTCATTGTTTGACCTTATATTGTACCTACAAGGACGTCTTAATAAGACTAGCCAAAGTCTAGAAGAGTTCGTCTCGATGGTTCTTTGCCTAGTTTTATTAAGAATTTCTTGTGAGTCTCTTATCGACTAATACAAAAAGGAGTGCTGATTCAATACTGTAATGGTTGGTTTGAATATCATGACAACTCGACAGCTTTTTTTTTATTCTAGTGACTATGGTAAATTCTTTGTACTAATGGATACTTATGAGAGAAATACGCATCCTCTAAGTTTGCTGTTGGTTAAGAGAGAGATTACGTCATGAATACAAAAGAGAATGAATTAAGTTCTTAAAGATATTTGAGTATAGAATGCCGGTTCAAATGAAACCAAACAACGCTCTCATTTCATCGGATAGCTTGACCTTTTTCAAAACATTAGCCAAGAAAAGAAAAAGAACATCTTTCTAATGATTTAAATGCAAACTTTACAATTTTAATGTATAAAAGTCAACAAAATGACATGTCAATTTATATAATAAAATTCATGAGAAAGATTCTTTGGATATAGATGAATCATACTTACATATATGTTTTTCTCGTCCATACACTATCTTATCGTTATTTTCTTCTTTTCTTTCTTTGATACGCGGGCATATAATTTATTTATTTAAGCTCTGAATGCATCAATGTTTTTCCTATTCTTTCGACGTCAGAGGTATAATATACATTTATCTTTATCTATTAGAGCAACATTATGCATAGTATTTGTATTCGTTGAGTGATGCGATATCTATTGGTTGGACATGAATTTGGAAGTCTCAAATTCGATGGTTGATTGTAATGTCCTAGATTATTCTGAGTTTTCTTGTAGGAAACAGCCCGTATTTTTTGACTTGAAAAGAACACAAATGTATTCATTAGAATTTTTTCAATGCGATGAAGATTAACAATCAGAAGTTTCAATATTGATATTTTTTCTTTTGTGACTGTCTAATAGGAAATATGAGGATATAAAGACTCAGTTACGATATGCTCTATATTTTCATAAGTGTTCAGAAGTCCATTGTTTTATTTTCAGATCACATATAATTGTTGATTTCTTATCTACTAATAATAATATCAACTTGATATGTTCTTTGATAAAACTGATTCATTGGCTTTATTTGTGCAAGTTTGATGTACAAAAAAACAAAACAGTCAAGTAAACTCAGACTTTCGCGCGTGACGCCGTAAGGTGTGAGCTCACAGATAGTTAATCTTATTTATACGTAAACAATTTCTTACAATAATTGTTATCTCCGAGGTCTATTTCTAATTAGACTACTACATTTTTTAGGGTCAAGTTTTTTGAATTTAGAAAATTCAAAATATGATTTCTGAAAAGTTTAGAACCCAGTTTTTTTTTTAAAGAATACATGTTGAATTCGTAATTAACATGAAAAACTGCGCCTAATAATGCATTTAGAGCTGTTCAACTCGAAATGAAATTTTTGCATAAACTTGATCAGCGAAGTGTCGCATTATATAGACAAGCTGTAAAAGTTTTCTTACAAAAGACACTTTTTATGTATGCATATATCATATTCTTCAAGTAATTACTCAACATAGAGTATATGTCAGTGTTGATAGCATGTGTTTATTAATATGAAAAAGAGGTTTGACAGTGTTGGGTTGTTATAGAATACATCGTGATTTATTTTAATTCATTTTTATTTTGCTTAGATGCAATTGGAGAGAAAATCAATAGACGTTACATCCGACCATGTCTATATAGACAACTCAACTGAACCAAAAATAGATTAGTATTCGAAAAATTTTGTGTATTATCAATACGATTTTTTGAAACATACCTTTCTATGAATGATTGAAAAGTGCATTCTAGATTGTACAAATGCTTTTCGTAAAAGAATCTTCTAGTTACTGTTCGCTCTTTCATAAAACCGAAATCGATTGATAAAAAAGTCCTTTAAAAGTTGTTCATATTTCCTACTGTCAGTATTGTTCCTAGAATTTTTGTATTCTTTCTCTGTATGATTCAGTTGCAGAGATTTCCGTACAAAAACGAATGATGACCTTTTCCTTAAAACTGAAGCAGTCATAAATATGGAGTACATATTCAGATTATCTTTCTTTTCGAATCATCTTGTTTTCATATGTTCTGTATCATTATATAAAAAACTACAATGAACTGATTATATGATGTATATAATGTACAAATTGAAAAATAATTCGTATCGATTTTATAATTAATCAATCAATCAGTACACAATTACTCTAATGTTTATATTCTTCATTGTGCTCGAAGGAAAGCTTCAACCGCTGATATCAATCTAACTTTTTTCATTATTTTATTATAAAATTCATTATCAAAAGATGGTGACGAACAAATACCAAAAGTCCTACTTAGTATACTAAGGATATCGAGAAAGTAGATGATGAAGATAACATTAAATTTCACTGTTCAGTTAACATAATAGCAATGATAATGTTTATCTACTAAACAAATCTCGAACGAATTAATAGTGATTATCAATTTTATTAATCTCGAAAATGAACTGTATACTTTTTACAGAACTGCAAAAAAAAAATTAACTAATAATTCAATCGTGCAGAGTTCGTTAGAAATGTACATAGTTCTGTCAAATGTTTAAGACTGATCTCTCAGGGTGTCTTATAAAACGTTGGAAGATTCAATGAGTATTATCTTTGAAAGTGGTATAATTCTAACCATTGAAGTCGAAATGTAATGTCTACAGATGTTTTTCATATCTTAACAACAACAGTAAGAACTATCGATCGGCTGCTTTCAACATTTGAAAGAGCAATTTCGAAATCATAAAAAACCTACCAAAAATGACTACATTGGTGAATGCCTAACGAGTTTTTGAAACTTTAAATTTTCTCATTCAAAAATTATTTGTTCAATTTTCGCCTAGAACTTAACTATTCGATGTTTTCTTTCAGACTATGCAAAGCCTAGGTTGCTATCTTGTTCTATCTAGAAGTTAAACAGTTTGATAGAACATCCGTTTTCTACTATAGGATTAGAATTAACTAATATAAAATCTCTTATTTTCGTAGTGTCTTTGAATAAATGATGGCAAAAAACAAAAAAATAATATTGAAATGTTCAAAATTATTTCAGATTATATAAATATTATTGTCTCTTTCTTGTTATTCTCATATAATGAAAAAAGAAAAAAAATGGAGGTCATGGGGTAGTGATGGTGAAGTTTGTAACCGATAATTTCAATTAGATAAACCATCACTTTCGGACCTCCATACATTGTTAGAATAGAATAGTATGTTAAGTTGAAACCAAATTCATATTGAGTAATAACATTTCGACATAATGTCGAGTGTAAAGAAAAAAAAAAGGCTCTGAGGAATGCTACTTCGTCTCTATGTACATATCATATTCTTCAAGTAATTACTCAACAACGAACATGTTTTCATATAAACAATATTTGTTTATGAATAAGAAAAAATAGATTCGATAACGTTGAATTATTATAAAATACATCGTTGTATTTTCATATCATTTCAATAAAATTTTAATTTTGAAAATTAACATGAGTTTTCTTAATTAATAAAATTTATGAATACCAGATACAAAAGTGTTGCAAACCTGTTTGTTTAGACAAGTGACTTGCTTTGGTTCTCCACATCTTTTCGAAGGATGAACAAAGTAACAAATAAAAAAATTAAAACTTTTAGGATTTCAAAATAGTTGAACGAAGGAAACTCGTCATTAATTTTAAAAAATTAAAAAGAAAAGAAAAAGACTTTTTTGTGTCATTGAAAAAGAACCCAACAGATGAATTCAAAATTTTTATTTCTCTTTTGCTCGCGTAACAACGATCTATGTTGAATTACTTTAACGATAATATAAATTTTTGTATAGTTTATTAAAATGTTCACCTGTGAATAGTTTTAATTCAGATCTCTAACAAAAAGCTAAAAATTGAACATTAATTTTGTTATTTTTGAGGGTGGGGTGCGATGTATGGCTAGATGTGAGTGCGAGTGTGATCACGGGTGGGTGTGAATGTAGGTGTGGGTAGATTTGGATGCAACATTAAGTGTGTGGATGCAAGTTTGATTGTGGGCGGGTATGAATGTAGGTGCAACTGTACTCGGGTGTGAGTGTTACTGTGAATGTGAGAGATGCGATGGCTGTAAATGTTCGTCACTTCTGTGCTCATTCACACCCACACTCGTGTCGCCAAAGCGAGTGTCTGAGTAGTGGCTGTCGTTGGGGAACAAATGTCCAGGGAGCAACTGTCATGTAATCTGAAAAACAACAAATAGCAATATTAACTCAGAAAAAAAACTGAACAGTTGATATGGGAAGTTCCTGCACACTCGCTCTAATCCTCAGATCTTATACTATCACATTATCATTTGTTTCAATTTCTTCGAAACAATATACGTATGTGGGAAATACTACGACAACTTCGATAATCTCGATTATGAGTTCACTAATCTTTTTTCTAATCATAACCAGCTAGTTTCTACACAGCTGAGATCGAATAATTACCAGTAAGATAAACTAACATTGTGGAAAATAATGGCAATGATATTTTTGATTCATCTTACATATCTTTCTCGTAAAATAAATTCAGTACTAAACAAAAAAAAGAAAACTTGCACAACTTATCTATCAAACCAATACATTATACACATATTTATTCAAACAAAATTAATCTATTTTACAGATTACTACTTATTACACAATCATTTTCATCTTTCTAGAGATTTTCTTATCATACAACAATATACAAGACAATTTTCTCTTATTGTTTTCTATTCTTCTTTATTTGAATATTTTTATTTTTCCATCTTTCAAAATATTCCTCCATGAGATATTTTCGCATAAGGAAAATATTCTTGTAAAGAATTCGAACATTTTGATCCATGGTGTATATATAATTTATTGATTTTGGTACAATTAATTCGTGTAGCATCTCTTATAAAATTGTGTGTTACTCGTTTTAAAGATTCATAATTGATTTGAAGATAAACATTATTTTGAAAATACGTTTTAGTATCAAATAGAAATTCTTCTATATAATCATCATGAACATTGATAATATCAAGTGTATTGAGAAAAAAATATTCAATAACAGATAAGTTTTCATTATCAATGTGTGATTCATAAGATTGTTTTCTCTTTTGTGGTTTATGATTAATCACAGTTAATTGTTCCATAAATGGAAATAATTTCTGAATTCGAAGAAAAAATTCATGTTCAAA